CCCCTCCCTCTTTCTCTCTCTCTCTCTTTCTTTCTTTCTCCTCCACTTCTTCTTCTCCTTCTCTTCCTCCCTCCCTTCCTTCCCTCCTTCCTATATTTTTTCTTTGCTTGCTTTTCTCACCCAATCACATTGATATAGTCCAGTACTTTCTCCCAAAATTTAGTAAGTAGGACATTGTAAAAAAATGTGTTTTAAAGGAGCATTATCCTTATTACCTCTCCAACAAGATGCTGTCTTAGACAATCCTTTTCTATGCAAATGTAACAGAGTCCAATAAATTCTAAACCTTGGACTGAAACTCTGTGTGGCTGATATTGGCATAGGTCGGTCAAATAACGTGGTTCATGGCGGCTTCTTAATCTTCCAAGGAGACTCTTTCCAGCAGAAGGACGTTGCCTGACAGGTGCTGGGCTTGGACAGTGCAGTTGATAGGTCTGAATTCTTGGAATTAGTTCAGCGCTGTGCTTTTCAAACTTGGCCACTTGAACATGGGTGGACTTCAACTCCCAGAATTCCCCAGCCAGCAACCCCAGGCCCTCCAGGCTCCAGCAGACATTCTCTGCGCTGCAGAGACTCCAGGCTCCAGCAGACATTCTTTGCGCTGCAACCATCCCCATGGCCACTAGAGGGCAGCAGGAGGTTGAGTTGTTGGCGTCCTTTGCTGCCCTCTACTGGCCGTCTGCTGGTTGCAGCCGTACAGGGTGGTGGTGGTTGTGGGGAAAACATGGAGGAGAACTCCTTAAGCATCCACCTGGAGGAAGTGTAAATGTCTAATAAGCAGCTCGCGATAAAAGCTGCTGGGGGTCGTTCCGCCCTCTTTTTGAGCAATGCGGTGGGATCCGCTTAATCGAGACCGGATTGGTCCATGAGCCCCTGGATTGCTGCCCAAAGATTTCCCTGTGTCATTCTAAACCATCCTAGGTCTACAGTCTATTTTCGTGAAGCTACAGTCCGTCGCTCTCCTTCCCGGACTCCTCCCATCGCAAAGCTCCCCGCGGCCGCAAACTTCTACGTCATCCACACTGCTTCCTGGGAGTTGTAGTCCGTTTGCGGAAGGGCCCTCTCTTCCTGGCCGAGCAGGCGTGGGCGCGGAACTACAGTTCCCGAGACGCTCCGGAGGCGCCTCCGCGCGGGCGGCCGCGTCCTGGAGACGGGAAGCAGCCGGCGGCCTGCCATGGAGGGCGCGCGCGGGTCTCCTCGGCGCCCGGACCCAGATTAGCGGGCGGCGGCGGCGGCGGCGGCGGCGCGGGCCTCTCAGCGGCCTGATGGACGAGAGCAAGGTGAGCGGGTTCGGAGGGGTGCCGGGGCGGGGCCCTCACGAAGGGCGCCGCCTTCTTCCGGGGCGCGTTTGCCCTGGGCTTTCATGGTGGTCTCCCGTCCACACCGCCCCGGGCCCGCCCTGACTCGGCCCTCGCGGTGCCTG